CAGAGGCTTTTTACAGCTTACAAGCATTTATTTAATCAATAGGTTGCTTGTTATATTCCTGGACATTATGAAGCAAATTCCTATGCAAGAGAGGTGTCAAAGACAAAACGGGCTAGAGGCGACAGAAAAATGCAAAGCATACTTTGATGCAAGTATTTTACAGAGTAATCATAACATAATATGTGTAAGGAATCTAAATGAGCATCATCAGACTATCTCATGAAAATTCCTTTTAAGTATTTGTTTTTGTAAATAGATGCAATTCAATAAGAGGTGTAGGAACAACCTGATTTTTTCCCCTTACATTTTCATTTTTCAGTTTTGAATTCCACCAGCTGCTCTTCAGAATACTACACAGTTTAAAACATATTTTAGAAACTATTCATATGGGACACAATTTGAAAGCACAAAAACTGGACAGGTTTAAAAAAAAATAGTCAATCAAGCATCATGTATGAATTAAAAAGCTAATTTTCGTATTAAACTGGCCAGTATCTGTGTTGACATCATTGATTATTCTGTGAGAAAAAAAGTGATAATGAGGTCCATGATTAACATTACACTTTAAAAAAAGGCTTCTGTTTTTTTCTTTTAAATCTCTAAAAGGTAGCTATTCCAATAAAGGTTAACTTACCATACCCTGAACTCTTGGTTGATTAACCCAAACCTTGCTCTGGTGTTAGGTTCCACAGCCATGGTCTGGAGTATAGTGCCTATTCAGTCAATCTGGAGTATCTATAGCATGAATGTGTGTTGTAATTTGTATTGTAATCTGGATGTACTACATTCACCATGTTGCATATATCATGTGACCTACCAGCGTCAGTTGCGCGTCACATCACCACCATTCACAAATCCTCTCCTTTACGGACACTCTGTTGTTAGTAATGCGTCTTGTCACTGTTTAACTGCCCTGTCAATCATATTGTCACAGTTCATTTAATTTCCTACCGTTTCAGAGAGAAATGTCGTTGATTTGTCATTCATGAGTCTTTCAATATAATAGAATGTGGATAACATTGAATTTATCAATTTTGTCAGGATACCCCTTTATCTAAACCTCTCTACATAAACATCAGACTCGCACATCCGCCATGTTTGTTTCTAAATGGAAAAAGTAGTCCATCCTGGTATCTTTGTAATACTCATTTCAACATACTACGATTTGGGACAAACTAATTCTATCTTCAAATATTTAGAACAGATAGTATGTGAATTGGGACCCGTGTTTGGCCATAGCCTAATACATTTCTTCTTCTTTAGTTCAATGTCTATTTACATTCTTGGTGCATATCGTCACCTAGTGGGCCATTTTGTAATTAAAATAATTTTATAATCTTATTTTAATCTTTTTTTTATTACACTGAACAAGAATTACTTTGTTTGATGCTAAATATATAAATTAAAAAAGAAGAGATGGATTGACCTGAAAAACAGTCTGAGCTTTGGCTGTATAAGCCATTTACTTTTACCTCCAGCTCAGTGGTTCATTGTTGGTTGTCTACAAAACAGAAAGTTGGTGGTTCAATCCCCGGACCAAGTGTTCCCGCCGGTGTCTGTGAGCAAGACACCTAACCCCAGCTGCTCCCAACGAGATGGCGCCTTGCATGGCTGACACCACTGCCGGTGTGTGAATGAGTGAGTGAATGGGTGAATGTGAGGCAAATGTAGAGTGCTTTGGTGGCCAATGGGTTTGTGAAAGCGATATATAAATGCAGTCCATTCCACACTTGTTGTGAGATGTATAACATATGCATTTTTTTGTTGTTGTAGAAATACAACATTATACAGAAAATGTTTTTCCTCCATGCGTATTTAAAAACTTATTTGCATTCAAATAAATCATCAAATTCATCTATGATGTGTGAGAAGAGAATAAAATAATATCAATAAATTGTAAAATAACATTGCTTTATGTTATGTTAATATACTGTATAACTATAATAATTCTGTGAAATATTTTATGCTGCACTGTGGAGCCTCATCATGCTCTGAATACCTCTGAAACAAACTAACCCTTGAACAGAACCTCTCAACCTTCTTATGTTCAGAGGTTATGTTCCAGGTTATGTTCAGAGATTAAGTTGCTATACTTACCCCAGAAGTTACCTCCGTTTTTCCAGAGGTCATCCATTTACTCCGAGTAAACTTATACCCGGGTATGTCACATAACCTGCTTTCTGGAATACCCCCTGGTATAGATCTGATCTATGTGTCTGAAACTATGAATGTTCATCAAGTAGTTTGTGCTTGTCCAAAATGATTTGCTGAAATCAAAACACTGATGGTAAAAGGTGAGCACTAGCCAATGGGATTACCATTAGTCCACTTAGTCCACACTCGCCCACTTAGCGCCTGAGTATTATAAGCATGGTTGCAAGAACTGTTAATCTGGAATGTACGGTACCACTTATAATGGATGTAACTGATGTGTATTCAAATGTATGGTGTGTCAATCTTTATATTGCTCTAAAACAAGGTATAGTTCAGTCAGTCATTGACAGAACATACTACTAAGAATTTAGATTAAAATGACTCGTAAACAAGTTACTCAGCTTGTTATGTTTGATTCTGCATCTAATTTATTTGCCCACACTTTTCTCTTGATCAAAATTGTCCATATTTGCTTTCATTATTATTCAAACTCATCTCACTGATGCTTTACTATCGTAAACTCCAATAAACCCCACTGAAAGTATGCAATACTCTAATTAAAAGCAGAAGGTGTTGTCTGACCTTTGGAAAGAGAGAGTTTTAATCATAGATTGTTTCCTAATAAGGCAAAGTTGCATCCTGACTCTTTCCAGGCTTTTGAAGACAGCTGCTTTGCCTAGACAGGGATGAAACCACATCTGAAATAAATTTCGCAATACTAGGCCATTTTCTAAAACCATATGTCCAAAGATTGGTTTTGGTATTATTCCTGCATTTTTCATTCTTTTATGGGGTTTTTTTTTCGATTAAGATACACGCCAAAGTAATATTTTTATTCATGACCGGTGTTAACAGGAACTGTGCATTCATTGGCATTTCAACAATAGTTCTGTGTTTGAGCATCACACCAATCAATCTCGTTTCACTGATTGATTTAATATGTTCATTGATCGGTTGATGTGGTTTATTGTTATCTGAAAAGATGAGTTATTTTGCCATAATGCCGTTTTATGAAAGGCAAGGGCGCTAAGATAGACCACAAAAGAGGACTATCGAAATGTAATTTTCAGAGCACACAAATTTTGAAATGCGAAGAACCATTTCCAGCCTTAAAACGTATCACAACATTTGTCATTATTAAAACCGTTCTGTCAGCAACAGCCATGCAAAATATTTGGTGGTGTATAGTTGGTATGGATATGCCATCAACCAAGACCAACTCTGTGAAATCAGTTTGACAGCTGGAACATAAGAGATTTGTAAGAGGTAGCATTACCATAACCAAATTGAAGCAAATACGAAAAATACGGTTGGGATTCTTCTCAAAACACAGACTGAGCATAAAAACAACAACTGAGCATAAAACACAACAATTAGCTGTATCTGGCAGTCATATCTGAGGATGCAGACAGTTTGATTAAATCTGACAGTCTATTGTACTCATCCATGCAATCGTTTCCAGAGCTGGCTTGTTTTTTTTACTTAGAGCATGGCCCATAAATCATTTGACACATGGCAGTGAAATTGCAGTTTATTGAACTTGTGCTCATTGTTGATATAAGACTGTTGCAACATTCCAGAAAGGATTAACATGCTTAAAAAACATGCGACTTCAGACAGTAAGAATGAATAGTGTTATAAAGTATATTGAAGTAAAATCACTTTGTAAATAATTTATCTTGGCCAGCATACACATACTCTTTTCTCTGGAATTATGTACCAGTGTGTGCGTCTGACCTGAACTTTTCAGCTGCTACCTGTCATGGCATAACTCTCATTATGAAAAAAAAATCCCTCATTAATCATAGTGCACCAAATTCACAGATATAATAATATCAACTAAGCAAAGTCAACAAGAAAATAATCTTAATGTTCCCAATGAGCAAACTGAATTCTAGTATGAATAATACACGTGTTTTGAAATGGTTTGATGCTCCTTACATATTAACCACAGAAAATCGCTGTAATTGGAACAATGACTGTATATGACGACAACCTAAATGTTTAGGAAACATTTTCTGTCTAAAACTACTAGTTTAACAAAGACTGGAAAAAACATGGTGTGCAGAAGACGTCAACGTTTTTATAGTGTTTATTTTATATTTGTGCTAGAATTTTATATACAAAATGATTGCCAACATAAAAAAATGGATAAAAAAAGAGTTCTACACCACAGCAAGATCATTTTAAGGAAAAAAATAAAGAGATGCTTTACGTAATGCACACTATCCATTCTTAAATGATTAGTTTAGACAAAGCTTTTGGCTAAAATGTCAAGAGTTTTTCAATTAATAAAACCTCATTTGCAAAAAGCGCTATACACTAATAACAGTAGCGAGTTGTGGGATTATATGGAAACAAATGTCCTGTACCAATGAACATTTTCAGCAGTACTGTTGATATAATGCTATATGCTGTTGAGTAATGTTCTTTTATAATCATTTTACTAGTCAGTTTGTTCTACAGCAGATAAGGTATATGCCTATACACAGTATTCCAACAAACAACAAACCATCAAACAGAATCCATTATCATCCCAATCATATGGCACTGGGCAATGCAATTCATCATATACATGGATTGAGCAGTGCAATAAATGTTATGCATATACAGTATATCTTGTCAAAAATATGGAAAGCAGACCTCTTATTCTTCACTAGTATCAACAGAGAATTTCTAATCAAGTTTGATGGTCACAGTAAAGTATATAACCAATTAACACTGCAAAATAATGTCGTCTTTTAAATTTGCGGTAATTCTAGCAACTTGTAATGGACTCTGCTTAAAGAAATGGATTGTATGTACCTTCACAGTGTGTATAAAATTCATGTTATAGTTTTTATGTGTGTGTGTTTTTTTTTTTAAAGAATGTTCAACAATCAATTGCAGGTGAATTCTGATAATTTCACAAGATATTATCAACAGTTACATATTTGGATATATACAAAAGTGATCAGTTGGTTGTGGTGGAGATTTGGTCTACTGTTTCATTCATTATCTTTTCAGTCTTAAACAACACCGATCTACAAAATACATGAGAAATATATATATATAGTATATAAACAATGGAAAATAAAACAATATTTGGGGTTGCCTGGATGTGCAAGTTCATAGAGTAAAGTGGGAGCTCTGAGAGTGTTTATTTGAAGACATTCTCATAAGCAGGGCACTTGTGGCTTTTGAGTTTTTTCATGGTCTTTTTGAATTCTTTGCTAGATTTGTCCCACTTGTGAATGCCGGTGAGAAGGTACTGTTTGTCCACCTTGCGTCCCATGATAAGATATGTGTTTCCGAGATTTTCAAGCTGCGTGCAGGGGCAGTCGGCTCCGTTCTTCAGGTACAGAGTGAGTTTCTTCAGGTCTTTCTTCTTTAAAGTTCCCAGCTTTATGATTTTTTTCCTCTTCTGCAGGATCACTTTGCGATCCGTGTTCTCCCGTTTGACCTCCTTGATCTTAGTCTTTATGGCTGTGGATAAAGAGAAAAGAGAGAACTGAGATCAGCTTTCTGAAGTTATCTTCTCCGATGGGTGGAGAGGAGACCGAAGATTACATCATCTTGTCAGTAAATATTAGTATTCTGTTTTTCTTCAAATAAACCATTGTGTTCATTATAATGACATGGAGATTTTGAGAGCTGCCAGGAAAAGCCCCCGCAGTGTTTTTTTTAAACACTGCTCCCACCTAATGCATCTGTTGTGGTCTATGATATTCCAAAGCTTCATTCAAACTTATGTTGTGTCCTGGATTGTGCAGCGCTCTCACATCTACTCAAAGTCATCTAATTTCCCCAGGCCATGTGCAGGGTTCAAAGAGGCAAAGAAGGGTTTGGGTTGCAAGGGGTATCGCTGGCAGTTCCCAAACGTCCAAGGCCATAAAAGAGAGATTATGCTTCCAAGTAATACAGGGGGCAAAAGAGAGATGAAGGACTGGAAGAAAAAAAAATGAAGAGAAGGTGTAATCAAGATCAGGCCTGCCTTCTCTGCCAATGGTCTCAGGGCAAAGCCATAATGATACTGGTCTCTCTGTCATGAACTCTGTCAAGTTCAAGAGAAAGCATCGATATCCATGCAAACCAAAACCGCTCTCATTGCTGTATTCCTTTCCCAGGGGGGCAAGAATGTCCCAAATTGCAGCTTCACTGCCCTCTGCCCCTCCAGATGTAACAGGATACTAGGTTTTGTTCCTTTGAATACCTCTCTTATAAGCTTAAGGCAATTAGTCAAAGGTAAAAAAAAAAAAAAAAATCTAGATGGATATATTGGCTGTAGGTGAAATGGGTCCCATTCAACTGTTACTTACTCCACTGGAGAAAACCATCAACATTTATCAAATATCAAAAGTATCCATGCACCAGTAACCAAAATTCTGCTTGATACCTTGATAACTATTTTCTTGTTATGGCTGATAACCAATAAATGGCTGATATAAAAATTCTATACCATTTTGCCAACAATTTTTATATATTTATATATATATAAAAATAAAAAAAAACTAAAACTAAAAGCAATCGTTTTAAACAAATGCTAGAGGTGAATTTAGCATCATTATTATGTACAATATGCAAATGGATATGCTAAATAATACATCTAACAGCTAAAGTATTAGTTGTTAAAGATTGAGTGATAGTGATATAAATATGTGGGGAATTAGCTATTTAAATGAACAAGTAAATATCTAATATTAACTGATAATATTAAAATTATTAAAAAAAAAATTATAAACTTGAATAGTGGTAGATAATAGATGTGGTACCAAAATAGAGTGTAACCCTAAACGTAACAGACAACAATTGGTAAAAACCAATGCAAAAATTTCATTTAAAAATGACGTACCTTGCCGTGTTTAATAGTAATATCAGACTCTTATGAAGAGTCTTATGACTCTTAATCTGTCTGATCTGTAAACTCTCTTTAACCTGTTAATCTTTTTATTTCCTTAAGCTTCTATGCACGAGTCAACTCCACGGTGGTCCTGCCAGAGAGTCAAACTTCAATGGCTGTTCCTCCTTTCCACCGCCTTGCAGGTGATTTTTTTTTTTTTTTTTTGGTCCTGGGTTAACGATGGAGAAACATGCAGAGGCTAACATCTTTAGCAGTCTAACATCAGTGGCTCACAAGTGAACTTACGGCCACCTTCATAAGAATTTGGTCCAATTAGCAGGCCAATACTAAAGACCCATGGAAATGAGCAGACATCTATTGAGATTTACTGCTAATTATGCTTTAACAACCTGATCAGACTCCTGGCTGTCAATGAGCAGACCACAATGAAACTAAATCCTCCCCATATCCTGTTGAACTTTGGCTTACATACATTCTCTGCAGCTTGAAGCGTGAAAATATAATGCGTGATCATTGCCAAGGAAAGTTAAAGTCCCCATCGAGACCCCTTTTAAGTCAGAAGAGTAGCTCTTAACACTTTAAGGCATACTGTAATTCAAAAAGCTACATGATGAACTGTGTTCTATTCTGCAACCCATAACCTCACATCTCACACCTTCTCACTTCTAATGACTCTTTCAGAAATAAGCCAGAGTCTTCCCAGTATTAAAAGTGCACATGGAAGGGATTACAGCTTGATCTGAAGTCTATAAAAGGGCTTAGTGTTTGATGAAATTTAAAAAAAGAAATGGTCTGAAGGTTAAAGCATTATCAAGTCAGGCTAGAAAGAGTGTTGCCTACCTCCCACAACCACTTTATCTTAGCTTAAATCCCACTTTAACCCCATGGTGAACTTATTTTCCACATTGTGTTTGTGAATGTAATCCTTACAAATGTAAGGACATGGGTACAGTCTAATACCTTCAGATGTGGTTTTACAGCTAATAGGAAATGCCACACTTTTATGAACAATAACATTGGGAAAGCTATAATAGGGTTAGTATCTTAGGTTCACTGTAATCCAGTGTTTCGAAAAGGGCACACCACAAAAAGTGCCACATAAATCGAGCCATGTGCCTTTCTAATCTCCCCCAAACTGATAAGACAATACTAGTTGAATAGCACCACCACTTGACTTCACAGATCTACAGAACTATGTGAGGACAATAAGCAAGTATTGTGCTCAAAGACTCCACATACAGATCTATACCGCATACCACAAAAACATCAAGCAGGCCTAATAACGTTAACATTTCCGAGCACATGCAGTGGATCATATTCTAAACAAACCCAAGCAGATAATGTTTCAGTCTCAGATGGTCCAAATAAGTACTTCATGCTTGAAAGCTTTGGTAAATATTTGATAAATAAGATATAAACAAAGAGAGCATATCTCCGAAATCGTGCGGTCACAATCAGTGTTCTTTCCAAAATGAAATGAATCATTTTGATAAAAAAAACAGTGAAAGTATTCACATTTCTTCTGTGATAAATATAACTGAAAAAAAAAAAAAAGTTTAACCTTTGTCCCTGATCTTTGACCTCGCTTCCTCTGTCATTTTGGAGACATGTCCACAGCCAGATGTAACGATGCCATAAACTCAGTAGGGAGAGTTTGGGCTGAAACAATTCACAAACATGGCACCTGTGGTTCGGGGTGAGCTCCAGTTAAAATAGTGCTACAACATACAGTTTTACTACAGGAAAGCTGCATGCATCACTGACCACAGGATAGACAGCCGACTAAAGTGCGCTAATGCTGTACTGTTTTGTCGGAAGGATAGAAGAGCAAAGCTGGAATGGAAATAGAACTCCATCCATACTTTGTCTTCTGTTTCCATAGTCTTCAAATATATATTCAAAATCTGCATGGAACTTAATGCTTGATAGGAGGATCCAGGGCCATTCATAAGGTCTAATAAGACAACAATATGTATTTAGACTGGATGGAGAAACTATTCCTTGCATTTACTTTAATTGAATACTTCACAGAGTGAACCCTGTCTTCCTTCACTGTCTGTCTGTTTCAATTTCCTGGATTAGAAATGTAGCACTATGGTCACAGAGAGAGTGTCAGTGGTGTTGGTATACATAAAGCTGACCAGAGAAAGACGGAAAGATAGCTTACCCATTTTAAACACTAAATGAAACTTTATGGTTTTGTCAGAGGCTAACCAAAACCAGCTTTTGTTTTCCTCTTCAGGGGAAAGCAGGAAGTCACTCTCACACTGCTCTCCTTTTGTTGAGGTCAACTCCTGCTGTGATTGGCCTTAACGGCTGCAGTTATAGGCTCATTTAACAGTCATTGTTGTTAACCATCCTTAAATCTAAATGCCCAGTCACACTGAAAATCGAACAATTAAACCCGCTTTTCATAACAGTAGATAATACGGACCACCACTGTATCAATGTCCATACACTACGATTCAAATGGTTTTTGTTTAAATAAGTCTCACCCAGGCTGAATTTATTTGTAAAAACAGTAATATTTTAAAATATTATTACAACTTAAAATAACTGCTTTTTTTATTTTTATAATTTGACAAAGTAATGTATGAACGATGGCAACGCAACATTTTTTGCAGCCACCCAGTCTTCAGTGTCACATGATCCTTCAGAAATCATTCTAATTTGCTGATTTGCTGCTCAAGAAATATTTCTTATCACTATCAATGTGGAAATGATAAATACATTTCTTTCAGAATTTTTGATGAACAAAGTAAAAAGAAAATCAGAATTAATTTGAATTATTTTGTAATATTATAAATAAATATATTTTGATCAATGTAATGGATAATTGCTGAATAAAATGATTAATTTCTTTAAAAAAAAAAAAAAACTCTACTGACCCTATGAAACTAAAGAGAGAGAAGGGATCTGCTGTAGGGTATACTCTGATTTACCCCAATGACCAAAGAGTAAACTCAGACTTTGTCAGATTCTGCCCAGAGGTCAACCCCTGGGCTGTTGTCACAACCAGACAGAAGAGCAAACATCCCAATTTAGAGCTGTTAGTAACAGCCAAATAAAGACTTTAGGGCCTCTGCGAATGACCTCAATTCATTAGCTAAACAGTTGTGGTCTCTCAAAGGGTAATCCAAACCCTGACATAGATTTACAAGGGTTAAAACATTCTGCTGCTGCTGTTTTAAGTGTTTAAAACCATTGCATTGTTCTATTAAAAGTGGTTTTGGCAGTCAAGACGACCAAATATGTGCAAAATAACAAAATCTTGATCCAGTGATTCTAAAAGTGCTTGAATCTGTCCCAAAAGCGGTGTTAATGGCCATGAAATAAAATATCATTCTGGCACTCAACATTTATGGCTAAAGAAAGTTATGACTCAACATGATGACTTAACACTGGTGAAAGGTGGACCTCATCTTCAAACTAAACTCAACTGAAAGATTCAATATATCAATAAGCAAGTCAGTATAAAAAATGCATTGCTATGGTTTCCGCTCTAGAAAGAACAATTTTTTTCCTTCATTATTCTAACACAAGACATTAAAAAGTAAATTTAAAGATGAGCAAAAACATCTTTATGAGCCCGCTGAGGAAGCTGAAGGAATAGGTGAGTAGTTCTGGTTCAGGACTGTGTGGTTTTGGCTGTTCTTTCAAACTAATATATCAGTCTTGGCTGTCTTTCATGCCTGCTCCATTTCCAGAATATAGACGATGAGAGGGAAAGATGGGCTCCAGTCTTGGCAAGTTCAGTGTGTGAGCGCAAAATAGCGTAAATGTGTGTGTGCTTAATGTATTGATGTTCTTACCAAATTCACTGGCACACATGTGCTCCAGAATCACATCCGTCTTCATTTCATTGTCGCAAGGAGGACAAACTGGAGAGTATCCTAAAGCAGAGGACATGCTGTCAGTGAAATATCAGGAAATTTGCCATTGGTATCAAAAACCAGAGTAATTGTTACCAAATATTTTATTTTTTTGTCCCAAAGAAAATTGAGTGTGACTCTCTGGCAAGTTTGCTATTGACTTTAAACAGTGGGGAACCAATCACAGTGCAAAAAGACGAGAATTCAGACTTCTCTAATTATCTACCCATCAGCCAAGCAATGGAAATTTCTTCTTGGCTTTCTTCTATTTTTTTGAAAGGGCCTGAAATACATCCTGTGCTTTGAATTGTTAGTATACTTTTGTGTTTTGCTTTGCTCTGCTCTTATGATAGCACTAAAGATTAGAGTAAAAACTTTTTATAAATACAAAAAAAAAATGTTTGCCTGTTTTTTTTCTTTGCCTGTCACGTGGTAATTTGACGTAAACTATGATGGTGTTATTTACATTTGTATATAACTATCGTTACAATTTACGCAGGTTAGAAAAAGGAGGCATGGGACAACACCCCAATAACTGGGGCTGACTAATTAGAACAACTATTGTTCCATGAATGCCTCCCTATAGTCATGGAAACAGGGAAATTAACCCTTGAATTGAAACTCTCTAAGTCCCTTTCTTAGATTTTGATTTAAAATCTATTCAAATTCAAGCAAATTATCATTATAATGTATTTTTCAACAGGATAAAACTCCCGTCTGTCTTTAATTATGCTAGACTTTAATTTCAGTTAACTAGTTGTTTTTTTCTTTCAAATCTATTTGTGGAAGATTATTGTGGAAATTGCACTCAGGTTAAAAGATCTTGTAAAGGCAGCTTTTCGCAAAGGAATTCCTGAGGTAAACATTTTTTACGTCACAACTTTTCTGCGTAATGTAAATTATCACCCAATTACAAGCTGCCAGTGGATCAAAATTGTGCCAGAACTAGTATTTTAAAGTAATGCTGCATTTTAGGATGATGACATCAGCTCTAAGCATAAACTGTCTTGCGGAAGATAAAACAGTTCGAATTTTTGAGCGTTACTTTATCCACAGGCATGGAATCACAAGAAAATAGTGGACAAATGGCTAGGCTTAACCCCTTGTAGAAAATAGGAAGTCCTTTCTTGTCTTTAACCCGGCACTGCTTGAAGCTAAACAGTGGGTCGATATGCGAGGGAGGGTCTAATGTATCAGTGGCTTTGGGTTCATTTGACTGTGATGCTGACAGCATGTGATAACAGCTGACAGGATCTCTATGGGGTGTTTATTAATTGAACTTCTCTGGTATTCCAGCTTCCAAGCCACCATGTTAGTGTTCTCTCACTCCGTACTGTGCGTCACTAACAGCAGGCTAGGGCAGATGGCTGAAGTCACAGAAGTATCTTCTCCCAGTGTGGTACATCGTTCTGGCACACAGTCTGTTCATGCACCATGTTGTAACTTTGGAAATGGAAATTCCCTTGTAATTTATGAGCTATCTACATAAGCTAGTTTGTACTTTCCCTTGTCTGAGACATACAACTATAGCGCTCAAGTGTTTCCAATTCCATTGGGAAAGTTTGACTTGTGCCAGATGCCCTGACTTACCTGGTAAAATACTCCACATGACGACAAGAGGATATTCTGCAATACTCTAACCTACATTTGCTTTAAATTACAGGGGAGGTTTGTTTTTAACAAGAGTCTCTTAGAGTGTGGAAATGTATTTTTTTTTTTTTTCGAACCACTGAAAATTAAAATTTTCTGCTTAAGTGCCACCAGTAAATAAAAGCAGCTGTTCAAATCTCTCTGTGTGTCTGAACTAAGAGTACTATCCTCTTGCATTACCTTATGAAAAAAATGTGTTAACAAGCACAGCAGGGAAGCACGGATGAGGGTTTGCTTTAAAATAGCAGTACATTTACAGAAATAAAATGTTTACTCATACACACAGTAATTCATTTTAAGTCATGTTTGCTGGCTGCCTTTTTTTGCAAAGAAAATTATCTATCCCAGTTGCGAAATAACACCAAATAAATAGATATGTAATGGTCCGTTGTTGGAACACATCCCAGTGTTGTCCTGGAACTCAACTAACACCCTGAAATCAATTGCTACCAGCTGTTAAATAAGCAAAAACTTAAATATTCATCTATCAAGCTTTCAAAAAGAGGCCATATCCCCTGTCTTCTGCATTTTTGTTTTATTACCATGTTACCTAGAAATGTTCACAAAACTGAATCATTTGTCCAATCGAACACAAACATGAGGTATTGAGAGCCCAGTAGGCAACAAAAGGTGTGATAACTCTAGATGAAAACCCCCAAATGGACGCCAGTCCCTGAAATAACATTGCAACTGCTTTTAAGAAGTTCAGGTGTTACTTCTCACACACAGCAAAAGGTGAAAGGTTGTAAAATGGGTAAAATAATACTAAATGTATATAGTACGCATTGAAACAGTCAGTATACCCTTACAGTATGATAAAAAAAAAGTGCCATCGCTGAAACATATGTAAAAAATAATAATTATATATATTTTTTTATTTCCCCCCAATTTTTTTGTGTCAAAATATGCTTTCTAATCTATTTGCAAGAAATGTGTTTAGCTACACGTTTATCTTCACGATTCAATAAAAGTGATTTAGTGATTCCATAATTAGTCATTTGGACTTACCACTGGGATTGGAGGCCTCTGTGACATTGGGCGCACTGATGCACACTTCATCTTCAGGAAACTTCTCGCAGGTGAGCATTTCAGGCCATGGAAACCCAAATGCTTCCATGATGGGGGTGCAGCCATCACGAACATTTTCGCAGAACCAGCGGCATGGGTAGATGGGCCTCTCCAGGCACACAGGGGCAAAAAGGGAGCAGAGGAATACCTGAGTGCCCGGGTGGCAGTTCTTGTGCACCAGGGGCACCCAGCTCCCTGCTTGCTGCTTGATCTCAGCCATAGTCTCGTGCTCCAGCAAGTTGGGCAGCAGCATCTGGCTGTAGCCCACACCGTGACAGAGCCTCAGGTCATCTGGGATGTCCACACACTGGGGAGGCTTGTCGTAGATGCGACCGCCGTTGTATATCTCTGACTTCCAGGTATCGTACACATACTCAGATGTCTGGCCCAATGAGACTAGTGACATAGTCAAGATGATGATCCGCCAAAGAAACAAAGATGCAAGGGACTTCATTGTGACTCCTGGTCAGAATCCCCTATTCAATGCAGCCCCCAAAAGTGGTGAGCCTTGAGTGAAATGAAGTCCTCTTTGTCTAGAAAATGGGGAGGGAGAGCCAAATACCTCTAAAATTTATAAGACTCCGAAGTCAAAGTATTGAAGTTGTTGAAACTCCACCTCTGAGTCTGAACTGAAGCCCCGTAGCTGTTGCTGACTCACAAGACTGAGTTGCTTGAAATGCGCAGCGCTCGAGACCAGGGGAGACTGAGACAGCCTCGGCGACCAATAGGAAACTTTCCGCACCTTTTGCTTCTCGTGTGTCAATCAAAGTATTCAATGACCCAATGAATGATCCAATTTCCCCGCCCTCGCGCGCGTTTCTCTCCCTCTGTGGAAACAGATCCTTAATAACTTCATTTTGATAACATTATTCGAGGCATTGAAATTCATGAGGATAACTACATTTACCACATTCTTCTGAAAAGCCGGCAAGAGCCATTACCAGTCTGCAGAGTAAAACATCCACGCATATGCCACGAAACTGGCGTGCATTTTTAATACCAGGCAATGGAGTTAACGTTACTTTAACTGTAGGCTAATCTATTCTTGTTAAGCAGTCGTAGCGATTTCTCCACACATCGAACGTTTAAAGGTGCATTTAATAGCCTACCATAAGACATCATATTAGAACCAAATTAAGTTAAAATGTGAGGTGTGAAATCGTCAAACGCATGTTAGCTCTCCTCTGCGCAGTTGTTTTGCTAATCACATTGAGATAATGAAGTCTGAAGATAGCTCAGAGATCATTACCAGCAACTCCCGTTGTCAGGACAATTTAAAGCAATACGGCCACAGTGTGCAGGGTTTTATCTCACTCGAGTATAAGAACAAAAATTGTTATCATAGAATATTAGGAAAATTAGGAAGCTTAAAGATCCTGCATTTGAATTGATGCGACTGGAATGGTGTGTCTGTTAAAACACAAGGTCTCTTATCCAGTTTATTTTCAAAAGATGATTAAATCATCACAAATAGGGTATTCCTTATGACAATTGTTGGTTTATAGCCTACAACAACAATAGACTAAATAGATATTACATTTAACTAGCACCGTTTAACCCTATATTGTATGATATTTGATATGAACTCTTCTAAATTATCTGCATGTTCAAAACACTTTTTTTTAGTAAGCAAAAGGTAAATTTCGAGAAATGTCCACTTTTTTTAGCAGTGAAATCTTTAATGATTTTAGTAAGTAAATATATTTTATTCTAGGGCACGTTTATAAAAGCTACTTAAATGTCCTAAGTGAACATGGCTAAATTGTCGTGTCACTGAAACAGGCCTATATTATCATCCCACTGGTCATGTCTTTGTGGTCATATGGCTAACCCGGGCTAACCGCACCAAATTGCATATTTTTGCTCAATTTAGGCCCCTCCCCTCCTCGAATATCATTGTAGAAACTTTTATTTATTTATTTTACATGATTTTGTTTAAAGGTTCATTCTATTTAAAAAGAATTTTTTAGGCAATTGTTTCAGGCTTTACAATAACGTCCACTACGTTTAGTAATTTATAGTTACTACAGACATTCATTTGGAGATTAAAAAAAAAAAAGAATGACTTCATCATTATAACATTTCTGCAATCAAGTGAAATTTGTTTAAATGGTGACACTTTTGATTTTTGTAGATCAAGTTTGATCTAATTATTTTATTAAAAAGGCTGACTCTTGTTCTATTTTAATTTTCTATTTATTTATTTTACTAGGCTACAAGTAACTATGGAAAACTTTATAGATAAAGATAATAAATAGCTGTTTATAATAGTTTGCTAAAATTTTAAATATTTTAGTCATTTACAAACGTGTAGACCATGCTCCGTGTAATTGAATATTTTTGACATGGTTTCGTTGTGAATCACAATATAGGTTTTAGAGACCTTAATTAATGTAACTCACAATTCACACAAACATATTTATGCATTAGGTCTTATATCATGAAAGACTTTATGTTTCTATGAATTTGGATAAACATACATGCAGCTGAAATTGCATTTCATCTCTGCTAAACTAAACAACATGAAATGGTCTACATGGGTGAACATATCTTAAAGATACAGGGCTAAAAAAAGAAATAGTGTCAGTAAAAGCGAGTGCTCTCTTATCGGATGGAACAACGTGAATCCCTCAACAGCTCTCGACTGAAGCATTTTTCAGCCAGCACCTTTCCAGAGAATTTCTTGGCCGGCTGACCGGCCGGCCTGGGAGTTTACGGAGTCTCTTAAGCTGAATAAATGAATGCATTTTCTGTTTGTATAGCCTCTGGTATAGTCCCAGGGAAATGGACTTGATCAAGCTAATATCACACTGAGAGATGCCTGCATGAATGCTAATTGAAAGGCTGTGAGTGGAAAAGTGACCCAACAGTAGGCCTCTTAACATAACATTTAAACTAACAAAGCAAAGCTGTGGTTGTTGTATTGAGTGCCCATTGGACCTTATGCAAAGTGGTTTCCTCAGCCACAATGGAGATCATTATCAGTAAAATGCGCATGCAGGTACACGAAAGGTCTAATCTTATACTAACCGCAGTGCCTAAACACATCAATAGATGTGATCAATAGAAACACATCAATAGAGGCCTAAATGCAGGAATGTGATGATGCATGCTGGGAGGTCTTTGTCTCCCGCCGTAGTTCCAAACCCATGTGTGGAAAATAAGAATTAAGTTAAAATTAAGTTACTCAACAAATCGCGTCAGTTCTAATTAAAGTGAATTCCAAAATAGCCTTTATATGTTCGGTCAAATTGGAATTGTGCTTGCCATTTCATTTACTCACTACTTATCCCATTGAAGACTATCCTCATTTAAAATAATGTTGTCCTGACACCTCCTGGGGAATTCACAAGACTGTATACCGCATTTCCACATTTTACACCAACCTGTGAGTGCTTGTCTGCATGTGTTGCAAAGCCAATGACTAACGTTTATAGACAGCTTGAACTTTCATGTTGGGATGAGGAAACAGAGAGAGAGAAGGAAATTGTCACTCCCTTTCTTACACTCCTGTTGATTTAGGCTAAGAGCTACTCTTTACATGTCAAGTTATAAAACATGTTCACACTCCATAATCACTCAGAATGGAGAAAGCAGACTGCTTTATCGGAAAGAATCTGATTCTGGTTTATTGCACGTTTCTCGAGACTCTGCTAGACTTGAATTGGTTGCTTAATTTGTGTCTTTGTTAAGGCTTGTCAAGACACAATAAATGAGATGAAGCAGAGTGTCATCCTTGTGCCTTTTGGGGGTTGGCTGCTCTGTAAATCTTTAATTTTACGGTTTAAACTAGGCCCGAATTACAATTTAATTATAGCCAACTCTGTCGATGTCACATTGATTGCTAAGGTGGATCATAGCAACCACCATGTTTTATGTTTATAAACAAACAACTAGTTTATGTGGAAGCTATATGAGTGAGTAGGAAAAAGTAACTGTACAGTGAAAAATTTGGACAGTTCATGCTCATTAAACCCTCGAATGTGAAGCCAGATGAATCTTATGAAGAGGTCACGGCACCCTAAAGCTGATTTTGGTGATCTGTTTTAAGTTGATATTATCAGGAGACAATATTTAAAATATTCACATTTAATTGGGCATTGCAATTCAATCCTTTTGTAGACCACCATGACATCTCCAGGGCTTCTCGGGATAAAGAGACAATATATCCAACACGCTGCACCGCAGGCCTTCAGAAAGTTTGCCAAAAAGTAAAAGATGGACTCATAGACTTTCACAATGTTCTCTCCAGCCACTGGCAGGAATGACAGATGGATTTGCACCAAGGAGAAAATAGGAAAAAGTGAGGAGCAGTAAAACAAACAAGCTGTTACTTTTCTTTCACAGCTTAAAGCCAAGGAAAGCAGAGAAAATCCCTTTGCCTCTAAAAGACCATTTAGAAGCCTGTCCTATGACGGTAGTAACATTGCAACTGATAACCACTCTAGTCCACAGTCTGACCCACTTTTTTGCACACCAATGATATCATCATCAAACCTCACCAACTATTACCAGCTTGTTTTCGAGATCTGACGCTGCCTAGTTCTCATTTAAAGTCTGTTTATAATCACAATACGACAGCATGCATTAAATTAAGTTTTATGTAACAATTCGGGAGGAGCACGTTGAAGTAATAAAAAGGCAACTAATCATCTCAAGAGAAAGCCGGTATAAATAAAGCTTTTCCTCACCTCCAGTCTCACGACAAGTGTTTCAGCATCCCTCCTCCACCCCCCATCACCTCACACTCGGCTTGGTCTACCCCAGTATAGGGAGGAGTACTCTGGGTTCGGGCAAAATTACGAGCTCAGAGCCTTCCCCCGGACAGCAAGCCAAATACGCATAAATTCAACTTTAGATTTCATGTACGTGTGAACTCGTGAAACCACTTACGGCATTTTTAAAATTTGAGCGTAATGAAGGAGAGCTGCATAACAATTTGACTGCATTTTATTTTCTAAACTACTTTCCACCTCCAGTTTATTATGATTTTGGATATTTACAGTGGTGTGAAAGTGTTTGCCCCCATGCTAAAGTTGCCTAAAAAGAGGAATAAAAAATCATCGTTTGGATACTGATCTTAATGCCTTAATTAGAAAAATGAGGTCAACACCAACCTTTAAGAACACAAATTTTCTTTGTGAATGAATAATGTATCATAAATAAATAAATGTTTTTCCTTAAAATACAGGGTGCATAAGTCATGGCACCCCTATGTTAAATTCCCATTGAGTCAGGCAGATTTTTATTTTTAAAAGCCAGTTATTTCATGGATCCAGGATAATATGCATCCTGATAAAGTTCCCTTGGCCTTTGGAATTAAAATATCCCCACATCATCACACACCATTCACCACACCTAGAGATTGGCATGGGGTACTTTCCATAAGATCATCTTTCAATGCAAATCAAACCAGCTATTAGGCTAACTGAAGTAAAACCATGCCAATCTCTAGGCATGATGAATGGTTTGTTATGATGTAGGGATATATTAATTCCAAAGGCCAAGGGAACTTTATCAGGATGCATATTATCCTGGATCCATGAAATTGGCTTTAAAAATAAAAATCTGCCTGACTCAATGGGAATTTAGCATAGGGGTGTCCTGACTTATGCACCCTGTATTTTAAGGAAAAACATTTATTTATTTATGATACATTATTCATTCACAAAGAAAATTTGTGTCCTTAAAGGTTGGAGTTTTCCTCATTTTTCTAATTAAGGCATTAAGATCAACATCCAAAAGATGATTTTTATTCCTCTTTTTAGGCAACTTTAGCATGGGGGCA